CCTGGCTCAATTCTCACAGGAAATTTACCAGTTTCTTTTGTGGACTTTGTAAAGAAAAAAAATAGACCTCACGTAGGCAGTGCAGGACAGAATACCTGTGTGTGTAACATGGGATCCCAGTATGTGTTGGGTATGGTAGACACGTTCTAAGCTTTGACAAAATGGCAGCATCTTGGTGAGGTGGTGGAGGGGATTGGGAGGCAAGCATAATATGGAAAAGAGATTCCATTTTTTGTCTGATATGCACGTGTGCATTAATAATAAAACCAAAGCTAATAATGACAATAGCTAACATATGCAGTGCACATATTATGTCTTAGAAATTTTGCTAAGCATGCTGTCCATTTAATCCTCTTACCAACCCTCAAGGCAGGTGCCACGAAAAACCCTAGTATAGTTCAGGAACTGACGTGCTAGGAAGACTGAATTAGCTACTCAGGGACACACTATCAAGTGTAGGAAGTAGAATGCAAACTGGAGTCCAGATTCTATATGTTTGACCCACCATATAGAGCTTCCTCAGATGAATGAGTAAATAAATAAAAGTAAAAATTCCTTTGTTCAGGAAACAAAGAATCAATCTTACACCTCATAGTCACACCTGCTATACATTGTCGGCTTATGCTTTGAACATAAACTCTGGCTCAATTAAATACCCAATCTATTGTCTATCACTGCCGTTCAAGGCCACTCCCAGCACTGCAGAGCCAGGATAAGGAAACTACATACACATTTGGGGAAGGGGAGGAAGACAGGCCGGAAAAAGGGGCTCTGAGGCTGGTGGCTAGGCTTCCTGGAAAAAACAACAGCAGGGGAGAGATGATCTGGAGACATTGCAATTCAGGAATGTGGGCCTACGACACATTTGGAAATGTCTGAACCACACATTACACTAGTGGATCTTTAAATTTATATTACATATAATTGTATAGATATTAATATACTTCTATATTAGGCATATTCAACAAGAATTTTATTTCAATTATTCACAAAACAATATTACAATACTTTATAAGAATATTATGGGTGAGGCCACCCTTATTTGTTTTTAAGAATCCCTTTGTAGCCAGGTACAGGTGGCTCACGCCTATAATCCTAGCTACTCAGGAGGTTGAGATCTGAGGATTGCGGTTCAAAGCCAAACCAGTCAGGAAAGTCTGTGAAACTCTTACCTCCAATAAGCCACCAGAAAACCAGAAGTGGCACTGTGGCTCAAGTGGTAGAGCACTTGCCTTGAGCTGAGAGCTGAGGGTCAGCGCCCAGGCCCAGAGTTCAAGCCCCATGATGACCAACCAAAAAAAAAAATCCGTTTGTGCTAGATGACTATTTTGCCAGCTTTTTGGGGGTAAAAGTTCCACATTAAGACAATAAAAATGAAAGCTGTGGGAAAACAATCATCAAAATGTATAAAACAGTTTATTATTCTTGGCAATGTAAAAATGCAAACCCAACACACATTACTGTTTTACCCTTCCAATGCAATTACAATGATAAAGAACCACTCCATTCTGCTCACGTCTAAGGGATGCCACCAACTTTTCTAGGCTAAATATATTTTTAAATAGATATTATACATTGCCCAGAATACCAAGATGCACCACTAAACATTCTCTGCTCGCACCATGCTTAAGATTCTTTTGCTCACCAAAGGTCAGAGAAGTCTCAGCCATAGAAAAATGAGCTAAAAGCAGGCCCTGACCCCACTGCTATCCTGCCAGCTCACGAAGACTTCAGAGCTCTGGGAATCCTCAGTCCTATCCCTCGAGAGCCAGCGACTCCACACTTTAAGTGTGTATCAGCTCCCAGGAGATCCTGTGAAAGCACAGAGCCCCTGGACCCCTGGAATGGGTGGGGCTCAAGAACTGGCACTTCCAACCAGTTCTTGGAGACACGGATGATGCCAGCTGGGCCAACAAGTTGCGAATCCTTCTCTAGCAGGTCATGAGCAAGCTTGCTGTGCCGCACACTGTGACAAACTGTCAAAATAAAATCCAGAAGGGATGTCTGAAGGCTGCTTCCTGTTTATTCCTTTCTCAGTGATGGGGGCCCGGGGAGAACCCATGCCATTTCCCACACTCAGGTGAAATCGATGCCAGATGGGGTCGATTGTCTTGCCCGGCCTTCTGCACGAAAACAGAGTCGCATTATCTCCAGCACCAGGCGGAGCTTTCAGGCCTCCAGGAGTTATCCTTGGCAGCCCCCAGCTCCCGTTGTCATGGAGTTTGCGGCTGCTTTGCCCATAGCCCGTTGAGGGCTGTGGCTGAGCTAGAAGAACCAGGAAGCCTTATCCACAAGAGCGATGTGTCCTTTGGCAGCAAATCACAGCAAGGAGCTCCTCCGTGCTGGTTTCCAGCCTGGGGCCAGGATTCCAAACAGGCGTCGCCTCCCGAACATTATGCCATTCAGTTGGCACGGTGGAGCTGCTGGTAATGCTTTATCTATGAGCCCTACTCTGCCAAACCCATTTGCTCTGGTATTCTTCGGTGATAAATTTCTCTCCTCCCAGGGTGATACCGACGGGGAGTTACACAATGATAGAACGTGAGGGCCCAAAGGGGAACTTTGAGCTTATCTAATGAATGCAGAGTTGCGCTTTTACAGATGGGAAAGCGAAACACAGAGGAAATGTGCCCGTCCACACACAGGAAGGACCGCACCGCACAGGTGAAGGTGATCAGTGAATTATGGGAGTCTCTCACCATTTCTTTTAGGGTCCCCCCACCCCAATTCTGTCCCCTCTAGCACTCTGCCCTCAAGTACAGACTTTGTAAAAATTACAGTTTGGTTAAGAATGTTCTTCTTTACCTTTCTTCCTTCCCGCTTTCCTTTCTCCTTCCTTCCTTCCTTTCTTCTTTCCCATCTTTGAAACAAGATCTTTCTAAGGCTGTCCTCAAACCCACCCTGAGTGAGAGCGAGAGCGTTGCAGGTGTGAACCTCCTTGCCTGGCTTAGGAGTGACATTCCTTTTGAAGATAGCCTCATAGTCCAAATTAGTCTGGAAGGAGTAAATTTATGTTGACAGGATGTGTGAAGCTTCTTCCTAGAGGTGAGTTGGGGCAAGAGGCCCTCACAGTGGTCTGAGGAATTCACAGCTCCCAGCTCTTCTGACCAAGCCCAAGGACCCAGCAAATCCCTATTTGGCTTGCAAGTAACCACTTTATGTTTGTTTGTTTGTGTCTTATCCCTTCTACCCCCTGAGACCTTGGTGGGAAACTGGAACTGCAGAGTTTCACCCTGCAAGTGTGGCTCACATCTGACAAAAATATATGAAAGATTATAAATTATTTCTTCCCAAACTAAGAGGTGCATCTGAAAGGCACAGGATTGTCTCTGCTGGTTTTGCACTATGCCCTTGAATTTCATATTTACACGAAGTATATCCTGTCAATGCAGCTGACACACATATAAAACAAGCGTTTTCTAGCAGGTTAAAACGGCCGTGTTGACCGTGGCTCATTCCTGCTTTGCCTGGGATCAGCCTTCATTGTTTACTCCAATCCTGAGCATAAACCCAGGAAATGGAGACATTGTTCATCAACTGGAAACTGAACGATTATGCTGTTAGTTTCCTTATCTCTTGTCTTATACAAAACACAGTCGCCACAGTGCAAATTGTTCCTAATTAGAGTAGTGAGAGTAAAATGCTTTTGATCCTCTTGAAGGGCAGGATCTTAGGTGTACTTTGAGCTTTGAGCTCTGCGTCCATTTCTTGGTCAGAGCCTGCCCCCTAAAGTCTGCTAAAGGTAAGGACAGCCCAGAAGATGTAAGCGCAGGACAGAGAGCACGTGTGTGCTTTGTCTAGTGCTACACCAATGACCTCTGGGTTCAATGCCTCCTCAGCATTGAGACAATCACTACTCCTGAAATCCTTGTGGAAAGCCAGATGTCCTTCTCTTCTGGGAAGGCTCCTCTTAGCTCATAGTGTAGGATGACCCCGTCGTTCCTCTCCCTCACAAACGGAGCCTTCTCATTCCCCTCTACCAGCTCCCGCCCGCTCTTCTCCCTGCTTCAAACAAATGAGGTACACTAAGGGCCCCCCTCACTTCTTTCCAATACCCCATGGTGACAGCCACTATCTCTGTGCTGCTGACCGCAGCAACCCTCCCTGAAACAGTTGGTTAGCGTCCCCAAAGGCCCCAGTGATGTCTCAATTTGGGTACCTCATGGGGGTCTCAAAGATCAGGGACAGCTGGCCAACAGTGTGTAAGCGTGGAGCAGTAAACCCTCCCTGTTCAAGCAAGGGATGGCAGCCTCCAATTTTAGATTATTCTTTGTTCTCCAGACTCTCCTCTCTTCATCTCAGCTTTTGGTCTGCCAGGATACTTCATTTTCCTGAGTCAGACAGGAGAACTGTAAGCTCAAAAAGGCCGTATTATTTACCAAGTGGCATTATTCCATTTCTGAGAAATGACTACAAAACTATCTGAAGTCGAATTTTCCTTCCTTTTTTTCTAACATTCTCCACTAAGAGATTGAACCTATGAAGCAGAAAGCAAGCATAAGCAGAACACCAGTGGCTCACGCCTGTTATCCTAGCTACTTGGGAGCCAGAGATCTAAATTAGCCTGAGCAGAACATTTGAAAGACTTTCATCTCCAATTAATCTGCAAAAAGTTGGAACTGGAAACTTGTTTCAACTGGTAGAGCATCAGCCATGAACAAAAAAAAGCTAAGTGAGAAAACACAAGGCTTTAGTTCAAATTCAAGTTCTAGTACACATACACACACACACACACACACACACACACACACACACACACACACACACACACACACACACCAAGCATGAACCTTACAGATAGTGTTTTTAAAGGAAATTCACACTAATCATTTTTGACAAGAAAATAACCATAATACTACCATGTACTTAAGGCTATTTTATAAAGTTTTTTTCTGGACTATTGAAAATGTTATTTTATGAAAAAAGAAGCTATTTGTACTCACAAGAGGAACGTATAACAGATACTTTCCAACAAAATGTACCCTTTTGTATTTATAGAGCAATTTCCTAGGAAGAAACTACAAAGAAGTAAAATCTCTTTCCATTTAATTTCAGACCAAGGAGGCTGTGAGTGATAAAGCCACAGAAATTATCTATCTTTTTCTGAGACTCTTAAATCAGAACATTCCATTTGATTCTAGGTATAATGTCTTCACTGACAAAATGTCAAAAAAAAATGTTGCCCTTGAGTTTATAGATCTGTCTTATTCATTTGACAAAAACTGAGTTAGCGTGATGCTGGTGGAGGAACTTCCAGTATGAGAAAGTGTATAATTGCCTGAAGGAGGAAGAAAGAGAATAAGAATTATTGTTACTATGTCGATATGAAGCCTGAAGGATTTCTTACAACTAGAGGTGATTTTAGGAAACTATGAGGGGACAATACGATTGAGAACATGTCACTGGCACCATACAAGTTTGCATTATTTATCAAGAAGCTCTTGTTCGAGACAAGGTGTATTATTTTTTTTCAGATACTGTTGGGCAAAGAAGTAGCATAAACCTGAGATCACAACACAGTAGTACAAGGAGGAATCTTAGAAATCTTTCAGTCCCTCATTTGAACGATGAGAAACAAATACCTGACAGGTAAAAAGACACAAAAAGCACCTGGGTGACTACTGGTCATGATTTCAGGCTGAGAATTCTGGATGGGCATAGCCTCCGAACTTTGAACTTGATCTAGGGTCCAGATACTTTTAGACGGAAATAAAAATGACTTGCCCTTTCCTCATCTAAAGGATGACTTTCAACCTAATGGAGTTTGAAATGTGCCTTGGGCCCTTACGTCTGACTTGTGCTTAACTTTGTAACACAGTGTTTCCTCTTCCACTCCCACACTGGTACAAAAGTACTGTGACTAACAATATTTAAATATCAGCCTTCCAGGAGCTGAATATCATCAGCCTATGAAGGTAGGACCAGAAGGAATCCTAGATGGACAGAGCAATGATTGCTCTCTCTGAGCAGGTATGGCTCCTCCCTTCCCTAGGACATGGGAGAGAAGAAGAGGATGTGGTCCAGCATCCGGGCCACAGGCACATGGCCTTGTGCCCACTGATGGACAACTCAACTGCCACAAAATGTGAGACTTTTTAATGAGGACACAGCTGCTGAGGATCTAACCACACTCTCTCACCCCACAGCCATGATGAACTTTCTGCTATGGGTAATAATAATGTCCAACTGAAGAAGTGGGGTTCATTTGTAATGAAAGTACCCAATGATACTTGTCTCTATGCCCCGCCCCCCTCAGTGCTCCACACTGATCTATCAGCCTGAAGCACGACCCAGAGGAACTTGTGGTCGCTTGTTCGTGATTCCGTAGCTTGTGTTGAATACATACCATGCGAACCCATGGCTCCATCATCTCTTATCGGACTCTTCAGCACCCCAGGCTTTAACTCACCTTTGTTTTGTAGGAGATGGAAAGGCTTCAGGCATTTGGGTTTAGAGGAAGGATCTGATGTGTTTTGCTGCACAAAAGACAACATCATCTGGATATGAGGGACATTCTTTTGGAGAGGGTCTGCGTTTCCTGACTGCCATGGGTCACTCCCTTATGTGCCGTCTCCCTGCCCAAGTTCAGCGTTTCTGGTGCCAATGTGACCCTTGGGGCTGATAGGCCGGCCTAAGCAGGAGTGAAGGCACGTCACGAGCTACAAGCCCGGATGGCTTCACCCTCTGCCGACAATCACATAGCAGTTTGATATCCCTATCCCTCTCTAAGTCATGGCTAACGTGGGAATAAGAAAGCAAGTGGAATGTGTCTGGGCAGCCCCTGTGCTTTGGCCAGTCCATCTGGGGCTGGCTCCGAGGGAAAGGCCCTGATTCCATCCCACCTAGTATCCAGACCCCATCGAACCCCAAGTCCCCACACGTCCCACACCATCTATCTTTCCCTGACGTGCTGGTCTTGTCCTTTTGAGCTGTACGGCCCTGTGTGGGTAGTTAATCCTTCCCTAAAGGGCTTACCTCCCCCCCACCAGTGGCCCATGTTTTCTAATGAAGTCATCTTTATGATGCCCTTCACTTTTTGTGGTCTTGCTGCTGCCCCTAAAAACCCAGGGCAGTGCTGTGATCGCAGACGTCACATTGAGATGCTTTAGTTCAGGACTGTCTCCCCGGGACTCCCCTTGCTTCCATTCCTTTCCCTCTCCTTCCTGTCTCTGCTGGCTCCTCACTACCAACCTGTGGACTTGCTCCTGTTCTGGCAATGTCCCCAAGCTCGTCACCGCGGCCCTGGGCCGCCTCTGGTTCCCCAGCTCCCTCTCCCTTACTTTCTCATCATCATCGACAATCTGGGATCTCCGTTTTTCATGTAGGGGAATGAAAAAGCCTTCACAATTTACCAGTGCTCACCTTTTCTTCTGCAAAAATGAGTATATCTAGCGATATTTAGTATCTTTAAATAGTTGCACAAAAGGATTTCAATTCAACGTGTCAGTTCATGCATATAGTATTATAATATTCAATGGGTATGTGTGAAATGGAACTAGGAAAACTGAGGGGCCAGGAGGGGTTGAGAGAGATGAAAGGGCTGTAAAATGAGTATTTATTTTAAAACAAATGAATCCTCTAATTAGGTAATAAGACTCTCACCTCTTTTTTTTTGGTCTTAAGGCTTGAATTCTGGGCCTGGGTGCTGTCCCTGAGCTCTTCAGCTCAAGGCAAAGTGCTCTACCGTTGGAGCCACAGCACCACTTCTGGTTGTCTGGTGGTTAATTGGAGATGACTCTCATGGACTTTCCTTGCCCAGGCTGGCTTTGAACCACAATCCTCAGATCTCAGACTCCAGAGTAGCTAGGATTACTTACAGGTGTGAGCCACTGGTGCCTGGCTAAGACTCACTTTTATCATCAGACTTGAAAATAAAATTGGGGAAGTGTGGAAGACAGGGGTACAAAGGCCCGCTGTGGGCTTCTGGTATGTGGGGTGCTACCTGTTATTAACACTGGCCTGCATTTTTGCTTTTGTTTTTGTTGTATTTCACATTAGGGTGTTTTCAACTCTTTGATATTTCAAAGGAGAAAAACACGGACTTCCTGCTCTGCAGGGTGGGGCGTGTCCTGTCTATTTTTATTAAGGAAAGACTTTTATTCCCTCCAGCTTCCTCCTTTTCTTAAGAGTGAATAATGACATTCGTTTCACACTTCGTGGTTCAGAGGTTCTTACTTAGTTCTTCAAGACATAAAATCAAGATCACAGAATGTGAAACTCTCTTTGAGTAACTCATCTAAAAAACACTTCATTTTCACAGGAAATGGCACTTCAAAGGGACAAAGAACTTTCCTAAGATCACACAGTCCTTTAGGTTCAAGTTAGAAATACAGAGCAGGTCTGCTGACCAGTGCTCCCTAAATTCCCATCAGTGCTTTCTACTGGGAGCTGCAGACCGAGGAAGCTCTCTAAATGCCAGAGAATGATTTCCTTCTTAACTTCTAGTTCAAAGGTCAGATACCATCCCTTGGGGAAAAAGATTAAAAAAGATCTCTAAACACCCGTGCCCATTTGGATGCAATTGTCAGTGGACTTTTTAATCAAACACAGAAATCTCTGCTTTAGAAACCTCTCTGGCTGCCCTGGCCCACAAGACCTCACCTTCCTCCACAATACAAAACAGAACTAGAAAAATGGAGTGGAAGAGTGGGGTTTGGAGAGATGGGGGAGAATGATGAAAGAAAGGAGTGAGTCTGGTCAAGGTGTGTTGTACTCACAAAGTGGTGTATTGAATTGAACCTTTTGTACAACTACATAAGGATAATAGGAGGAAGAAGAAGCAAAAGGAAGAAGAAGAAACAGAAGCAGAAGAAGGAAGAAGGAGAAGAGGAAGAGGAAGAGGAGGAGGAGGGGGGGAAGGGGAGGAGGAGGAGGAGGAAGAGGAAGTATCCTTTCTGAAAAGCCCTCAGCAATGGCTGAAACAGAAAGTCTAAATTAACACCGGACACAGGAAATACACACACATGGCTTTGCTATACAGCACTATTCTCGTATTGCACTCTTGTGGCGAAGAATAAAACAGAATTCTTCCCTTCTCTAATATGAGCTCGCCCGATTGTAGAATTAGAGCTGAAACTGCAAAAGACTAAAAGGGCCAGTACTGTTCAGAAGTGTTCGCTCCCAAGCCACACCCGCAATCTCGGAGACCCAGTTGTCCTTCACCTGTCCATACCTGCACCTTCCCTCGGTGACCCTTCCTCACCCCGTTCTGGTGCCCGCCTGACAGCCAGGCTTTGATTATGACAGACACTCAAGCGATCTCCACACAAGTCGGCTCATTGGCATGACTAGAATTCCATGCACTGAAGCAGGAGATGACAATTACCTTTGAAGTTTGCTTCCAAGAACTTAATGGAGGCAACTTGTTGCACAGAAGTTGTCGCAGCTATGAGAGGCAAAGAAGCAATATTGAAGAGAAGCATAGGAATAATCGCACATAAACATAGCAAAGAACAATGCAGATTAAAATGGGTGTTTCATAGTACTGGCTCTGAGAAGCACGAATAGACTGTGGACATAAGCATCTGACTGGTAGCTCTTTTTAGCGTCTTTACCATAAAAGAAAACTTAGACTTACACACAGAATACAACACCATAAGATTTAATAACTCAGATTCTAGGCACTAGTCATGGTCAATAATTGCTAAATTGAAGTTGATCCGTGAAAGGAAGGATTTCTTAGCCGTCAATGATACAAAGCAATTATTGAGCACAATTAAAACAGAAAATTGCTTCTTCTTCATAAGCAAGGGTTTGTAATATGCAATAATGGTGCTACTACAACACATTTTTATCTTCCTACTCAAATGAAGACTCCTTTATCTATTAGGTCACTGACTCAATTCCCTCTCATTGAATTGATCAATGCTGGGAATCATAATGGAATGAGTTTATTATAAAGGTCTTCTATTATCTCCTACATCAACTGATAGGCTTTCATTAGGAATTTACTTCATGTGAGGAGCTGTTTAACATTTACCATGTGAAACTTTGGAAATGTATAAATAGAACATGCATCCAGCATACTCAAATAAATGGATACACTAGTTAAAAGAGCATAAAGGACTTTCACTCTCTAGAAAACAAATTTTGCCTTTGAATCCTTGCCAACCTAATTTAATGAGAAAAATTTAAAGGTAAAAAAGATTTTTTTTTTAAATTAGTGGTACTGGGTTTGATCTCAGGCTTCTGCACTTATCTAAGCACGTGCTCTCCTGATGAAACTCAAGTCCTTTTTGCTCTGGTTACTCTTGAGATAGGATCTCTTTTTTTTTTTTTGGTCTGGCCAACCCAGTCTGTAATCCTCCTGTTTACCTACATTCACTATCATGCCCAGATCTTTTGGTCAAGATGAGGATCTTGTAAACATTTTTGTCCAGACTGTTCTAGAACCATGATCCTCCTAATCTCTGTCTTCTGTGTAGCTAGGATTATAGGTGTGAGCTACCACACTCAGCTGGAATTCCTTTTGTTTTAGGGTTTTTTTGTGAGTTTTTTGCTATAATATCTACATTACATGTGGTGATTGATTTTACATGGCTTTATCTGAAATAAACATTGAGCAAGTTTTTCTTCTGGCTGAGGCTAACTTTTGTAAAATGATAGCATTTTACTATAAAAGTACTTGTCACTCAACTTCTTATAATATGAACAGAGCCACAGAATATGATAGGGGAGTATAAAGATAGCTGCATTGGCGAATGAAGAGAGAAATCAGCATACACTTACCTTGCTATCTGAGAGAATTCCAAAGCAAAGGATGAAAAAGCCCTTTAACCAAAAAAAGAAAGAAAGAAATCATATTTTCATTTTCCAGAAAAAGAAAGCATCTCCATGTAATATTATTTTAGCCTATCATCTAACATTGAACTTGTTTTGTTTTTTCTCTGTCTTTCTACCTGACCACAGATTCCTCATAAAGTCATCAAGGATTTGTCCATGAATGAGTAATAAACAAATGACTGGATGAATACAGTTTTAAATGTACCTGGAGGTTTATTCTCACCTAAGGGATCATCCCAGGAGCCAAACATATACCTTCTGAATTTTCTGTTGGCTTCCGAATTTAATCTTTGGGAGGGAGGGTCAGATAGTTAATCAGCATCCACTATGCAACAGGTACTGAAGCCTAACAGTACAGCCTTCCACCCAGGAGGAGAGAGATGGTCTCTACTAGAGCCCTTCCTTCCCAGCCATGCTCTTAGAAAACCTTGTCCAGGGCTTTCTTTGACCTTGAACTCCTAGTCATAGACTGTTAAGTTCAGACAAGAACATACCAAGCCAGACTCTGCCTGTCCACTATTGTTCCCACACCGTTGCAACCTGTGGACCTGCCCTGTCCTCACCTTGTCAGCACTGGGTTCAAGATCCTTGTGCATGTCTGTCCTGGCACCTCTGCACCCATTCTCTGCTGGGTGGTGGAGAAACAGCTGCTTTCAAAAGACACAGTGGACATTCGCTACATGCCACACCTTGACTGTCAATACTACTGTATCTCATTTAACAGAGGAGAGAATTGAGGGACAGAGGGTTAAGTCATCTGTTACAGGTCCTGCTTGTTGGTAAGGTAGCATGTTTAGGGTGAGACATATTTAACCCCAGAGCTCAAATATTTGGCCTCTCCCCCTCAGTCATTGTCCAGGTGTTTACCAACATCTGCATTGAACCAGGACAGGCCCTCTTACACAGATGTTAAAACCTAAGAGCCACTTCTGCTGCTGTTTACTCTGTAAGCTGTCTGTACAGAATGTAAAAATGCATCCTTTGTGGCAGGAAACAGCAGCCGCGTTTCTTTCATAGTCAGATAGGAAGGGTTTTAGGCCAGCCGGTCTCTGTGGCAACTCTTCTACCTTGGCAAAGCCAAGCCAGAGGCCACAAAGTGGGGAACGGCCATGTCGTGTCCCCATTAAATTTCATTTACAAACACTGGCCAGTGGTGGCAAGTGGCCAGTCCATGCTTATTGCATTCTAAGTGTCCCTGTTGTGCCATTTGGAATCAACATGCCACTCTGGTTTATTTCTGCTTTCCAATGCTTTGTCAGAGGTCTGCTCAAGAGAAGGGAGACTGAGGAAAGGGCACGAAGGATCCACGCTGCACGCACTTTTAACAGCTTTAAAACCCTGCAATGAATTTTTCTTCCTAATGACATGACTGATTTGTGGTGGGGCAGGGAGGGGAGGGATTGTTCTTTTACTCATTGTTTCCATGCACTTTTCATGACGGTTTTGCTGGAGCCAAAGAGATGCGATTATCTCCACTTAGCCATGTGAATTCTCTAAACCTATTCCGTGAGGGCATCACGGCTCATTCTGACAGTTCTTACCTGGAACGCGTTGAATAGAGCAAAGAGCACGTGCCAAACCACGTTGTGGCTGTCCACCATGGTCCCTACCCCAAAGCCCCAGGTGAGGCCTAGCAAAGGGGCCAGGATGAGGAGACTCTTCCCCATGCGAATCACCGTGGCCCTGTCGTCCCGATTCAGCCTTTCTCCCACAGCCGGCCTCCAGAGCTTCCTGAGAACAAGCAGCACCACGGCGGAGTTCACCACCACGATCATCAACGCGGGGACCACGAACGCCAGGAGAGGCTTGCTCCTGTGGGACCAGTTCAGCCAGCACACGTCTGTCCTCTGGTAGCCATGGCCGGGCGGGATGGCTGCGATCGTGACAATGGCTATGAGGAGAGGACACCCGTAGCCCAGGCCGAATCCGATCGCCATCATCAGAGACATGGCCACGTGGTGGAACACCAGCGCCAGGCGGTAAGCCAGCAAGAGAGCCAGCGCCAGCATCCAGAAGAACAGAGAGAGGTAGAAGAGATGCGTGAAGAAGACCGCGGCGCTGCACAGAGAAGAGAAGACCAGGGCCGCGTCCAGGGTCGCAGCCACGATAAACCAGACGTCAGCAGCCAAGAGGGACAGGGCGATGTTCACCAGGCAGACGTGGCGTGAGAAGGACGTTGGGTTTCTCCTGGTCTGCTTCCAGCACAGAGCCTCGAGCAGGAGGCACAGGATCAGACTGGCGATGGAGACCCCCAGGCCCACGTGCGTGATCCAGGTGAGCGCAGAGGTGACCCCGGGGGGTACGTAGGGGGACATCAGAATGGAGAAGGAGGTCAGGTGCGTGCAGCGACACAGCACGGCCTCCGGAGTCTCGTTCACCAGGTGGCAGCCGGCACTGTCCCACTGCAAGCGGCCGAAATCCCAGAAGACGCAGCGAGGCTGCTGCAGGTGTGGCTTCATCTTGGAGAAGCGCAGGAAGATTTCATGGATGGAGTAGTTGGGGATGAGCGTGGACAGCACGGGCCCGTTGACCTGGGCGACATCCTTCGGGGTAATCGGCAGGATGGCCCCGAAGGTCAGTGAGGCCATGCTGATGATGGCTTCTGGAAGGGATTTCTGGAACTGGTCCGCCCGGATGAGCACGTGGCCGGTGGTGGGAACAGAGGCATTCGGCTGCATCAGTTGAACCTGATAGCTGTAACCACGGGGGTCTCGGCTTGGGGTCATGGGAATCCCTTTCCAGTCAATGAATTCCCGAGAAAAACTCAGAGGCAGCGCGGTAGAAGGTACCAGAATGCTGATGTTCTCTAATGTCTCCAGCAACTGTGAGCTGGCCTGCTTGTCATCTTGCAGCAAAACGGTCCAGTTCGTTATTGATGCCAAATTAAGAATGTGGTCAGCTATGTTGATGATGTTCTGAAATACAAGAATGGGAGTCAGTCCTGTGTTTTCAGGGGTGCAGGTATGAGAGAGGAGACAGACAGACAAGTTGGTGTTGATGCAGGAGAAAGGCTCAGAGGTCTGCTCCATTGAGGACCGCAGTAAAATGCCTCAATCGAATTCAGCTCCGACACTCTTTACATTAGAAGCTTTGGAGTAAAAAATGTGGGCCCAGAGGGGTCACCCTCAGAACACACTGGGGCTTCGGTGTGATTGAACAAGGACACTGCTGTGCACCAAGTGTGCATTTCCTCTTCCTGAGATGCCAGTGTTGACTGACTATATGATCACTCACAGTAAGGTTCAAGGACACGGGTCTCGCTTTGAACAGATTTCCCGGTTACTGTTTCCCCTATCAACATGCCAACATCAGAAGTTATGAATGCACACCATGCATGCCCAGATTTTAATTTACATCTCCTTGTTTGTTTCGGAAGAATTACTAACACTGCTTTTGAAAGCTAGACCCAAACAATACTAAATAGAGGTGGGTTGTGTTTTTTTTCATGTTTTATCTTTGATTTCATTTTATTTGTTTTTAGTATTATCTTTTTTATTTGTAAGTAGTTGTACAAAGAACTTGCCATTTGACAATGCAGTTTATGAATACGATGTATCTTGATCAATGTCTCCCTGTTTGGATCACACTTCCTTGGAGAAATTCCTTTTTCCAAACAACTCTTGGTTACCATTCTGTCTCATACCTTATCATGCTGGTACTCAGGCCTCACACTGCAACCTCCGGGGATGTTTTGCCTTAATCTAACCCTCTGTGTCTTCTACCCTCCGATCCAATGTCTCTTTTCTACAGTCTTCCACCCACAAACCTCTCCTTTTCCTTACCTGCTCTGTTTTCATTCTTCCTTTTTATATGTATGCTGTTTGGGTCATTTTACTTTTGCTGGTCTTTTGTAAACAAATGGAAAAAAATCTGAGCATTTTTTTCTTTAACTTAAGGAGTTTAACTGATTTCTATTTAATACAGTAGTTGGCATAATGAGATAGCTTCTACCATATAGATAGATAGATAGAAATATATATATATATATATATATACACATATAATGTAGCCCAATTGTGTAAGCTAAGTGCATGCATCCCACATGTTTGCAAGGAAATTTAATGAAAGCTGTTGTGTCTCTTGCTAGTCTCCAGGCACTGAGGTCATATCTGAAATGGAAGCAGTGACTGTTCAGGAATGATGAGGATATAATCGTTTATACTCTTTGTGTTTTGTGTTTGCTTGTTATCATGACCAAATACCATTCGTTTTCAAGTTAATAGCTAAAGATCTAAACTAAACCATGATTTCTCCAGTCCAAAGAAAGGAATTCTTAAAATATGCCTTGCTAAAATCAGAGTTTGGGCCACAGGAAAGGAAGACTGTGTCCTGGAGAGCAGCTACGCCGTCCCGTACGGACTTCTCCATCTTTCCCCAGTCACTTGGGCTTTTGCCATTCCTCCCGCCAGATGCAGGCCTGAAAGCCCAGAAGCCCGTACCTTCAATGTCAAGTTGGACACCTTGAGATGGTTTGCCAGGGACAGGGATGAAATGTTGCCCAGAATTGACACCACTGACGCCAGGTTCCCCGCTGTAGTTGATGGGCTTTTCTGAATGATGACCGAAAGATTTTGCACCAGAGATGAAATATCTTCCTCGGTGGCGTTGCCTGCAATCACACTGAAATTCTAGACATAAAAGGGGTTATGTTCTAGAGGAGCAGAAATGCTGTCCCTAGCTGGGACAGAAGTTCTAGTCCATCTGGAAACCTCCTGGAAGGATGATGACTATAAGCTGATCTTGAGAACCCTCTTTTCTATAATTTGAGTTCTTCTAATTCCTCTCTATCTACCTTATCTTTCTTTGTTTGTTTGTTTGTTTGTTTTGCCAGTCGTGGGGCCTGAACTCTGGGCCTGGGCACTGTCCCTCAGCTTTTCAGCTCAAGGCTAGTGCCCTACCACTTGACCCACAGCACCACTTCTGGCTTTTTCTGCTTATGTGGTGTTGAGGAATCGAACCCAGGGCCTCGTGCATGCAAGGCAAGCACTCTACCACTGAGCCACCTTCCCAGCCCCTCTATCTACCTTGTCTGAACACATAACCCTTTGTAACAGAGCAAGAGTAGCAACCAAACAACTTTGTTTCTAGACAAGCACTATTGCTGCCAGCGGGACCCTTGGTTCCTTGGTCTTTGTTTTCTGATTTATAGAAGGAGGTTGACAAACCGTATGACTGCGGATACATGGCTCTGTGTGGGTCACCTCTGCCCGCCCCACTTCCTGTGCATTCCTGCGTATGTATGAAGTCGACATTTGTAACCCTCCACTCCCAAGCCTTGTCTACGTCTACGGCCAGCTTCATATTATGGAGCCGGGTACTAATGCATTCCAGAACAAAGCCATCAACTCTGACATTCCCTGACCTTTTCCACTGTCACTCATGTCTACATGAGTGGGTCTTCCAGGGCCAGATGCCACCCTCACCCATCCCATGGTGCAAGAAGACAGATTTACCCTCCACCCAGCCAGGTTTCCAGGGAGATAGATGCCCCCTGCGGAGCTCCAAACCACCCCACCGGTTCACACAGTGAAAATCCTTCACCTTCTGCAGTTCCTTCAGCTGTGAGAGCACACAGGACTCCCGGCTGACCTGCCACCCCGCGCTCAGGCACCTGGCTGTGACGGTCCCCGTGTACCCACTGGTGCAGGGGAGGACGTACTCATCATCCTCAGACCCAAAGCCGAAGAACACGCTGTTGCAGGGGGCTGGAACAGAGTGCAGACAGGAAAAATGATTCTAGAATATCTCAGCACTCTGCCCAAAACATGAAGTCGTCGTTAAAGGTTTTCCATCCAGACCTGATTGATCACAGACATACAACCCTACTGGATAAAAATAATGAAAGCAAAAATGATCGGGGACCTGGCTGAAATGGTAGCGCACTCACTTACTAAACATGCAATGCCCAGAGTTTAAACCCTATTGTTACAAAATAAATCCAATAGATAAAAAGCTCCAACAACCACCAAAGCATCACATTTTACCCGGTGCACGTGTGCAATGATTAGGAAATAAACATTTTAAAAAAGTAACAGAAAAAGAAAATTATTGAAGAAAATACAGTGTGTCTGAGTGTGTGTGTGTGTGTGTGTGTTATATGTGAACATCTACACGTGTGTGTATTGTGGGCATTTGCATGTACATTAGATGTGTGAACTTGTGGGGGGTGAATTGTGTGCATTTGTGTGTGTGTGTGTATTGTGGTGTGTGTGTGTATTGTGGTGTGTGTGTGTGTATTGTAGTGTGTGTGTGTGGTGTGTGTGTACTGTGGTGTGTGTGTGTGTGTGTTGTGGTGTGTGTGTGTATTCTGGTGTGTGTGTGTATTGTGGTGTGTGTGTGTGTGGTGTGTGTGTGCATTGTGGTGTGTGTGTGCTGTGGTGTGTGTGTGTGTTGTGGTGTGTGTGTGTATTGTGGTGTGTGTGTGTGTGTATTGTGGTGTGCATATGTGTGTGTGTGTGTGTGTGCACGCAACAAACAAGGATGCATGTCTTCTTGCCTTGGATCTCTGGACTGTCAGCCCAAGGCTCCTTTGAGACACATACCAGTAACCACTGCTGAGTCATTTCCTCCACAGCCTGTGGTGAAATCATTCTTCCATAATGTTTACTCCGGGAGATGCAGATAGATCACAGATTTGTAAAATGTACCATAGTCAGATGAAGCTGTGTTTTATGCCTCTTTCTGCTGAAAGCTGGGGATATAGTTGTTCTCTCTCAGAAACAACTCCTATCCACTTCCTGAGGCTACGAATGAGCATCCCTGAGGCAGAGGAGAGACTGGAGGGTTACCTTTCCCAAATATTCGGAAAGAGCCGTCTTCTAGAGGAAACAGCTTGCCCAGGGAAGCCTTTGCCTTGTCAGCCATCTGTGCCAGGCTGGAGAGCAGCTCGGAGGTGCTGCGGGAGCCGATGACCTCATACCCCACCACGATGCTTCCTTCTCTGCAAAGAGCACCGGAAAGCAACGTTCACTGCGGACCTGCAATCCCTCAGACCTACTGTACACACACGCCGTGGAGTCCCTCAGAATAAACCAAGCAGATCTGATTCCTGCTTCCACAGAGATTAGCTTCTAGTGGAGAAGGCAAAGGAAGTAAGAAATAACTGCCAAGCTCACAACACATTCACACACACACAGGAATGCATACACACACATAAACACCCACCAATGATAAGCGTCAAGTGTTCTGAGAAGCAAGTACAGTATGCCACGCAACAGGTGGAAATGAGACCCTATATCAAATAAGGCTGGTGAGGAAAGGCTTCCTTGTGCAGAAGGCCTTTGGAGGAGTGGCAAACAGGATGCAAAGAAAAGAGCTAGTGATATAAATAATATTGGTATAGATGCCAGCATGCGTAAAGGCCCTAGGGCAGTAAAAAAAATCTATTGGATGTGATAAACTCAAAGGTGGAAATAGCTAAAATTCAATAAGCAAGGGAGAAAGGTAACATTGGAGAAATGGCCAGGGATCAGACACCTAGCACTTTGATGTTTGACTGTTAAATTTTCATTTAAAAGTTTTCTTCTATATCAAAGGGCAATAAGATGATCACATTTGTTTTTTACGATCATCATTTGAGCTATGGTAGGAAGAAAACTGAAGTGGGCTGAGCAGGAAGATTAGTCACAAGAAGGGTGGTGTGGTTTACAGTAGCAACAGGGCATGTGAGGAACAATGGTGAGATTCTGGGTGTATCTGAACACAGAGCCATAGAACCTGCTAAAGAAGGAGAAAAGCTGGGGTGTGAGGGAAAAAACCAGTCAAGAATGACTTCGTGGAATGGAAAATCAAAATTTTACTGTATTTATGCAATGGAATACTACTGAGGGACAAAAACAAATGAATTGAGGATATTCAGGGGCAGAGGGAGAAAGATAAATCTCAAAGATATCATGGTGAGAGAGAAGCCAGGTATATTAAAATCCACCGATAGGAAGAGCTAGATAAGCTAAACTATGGGGTCAGAAATCTTCTGGTGGAGAGGCTCCGGACAGGGCGTGGAGAGGAGTTAGAGGGAACTTGAATGTAGATGCACACACTCTGTCTTGATGGAAAGGGCTTAGACCAGCCTTTGTCAATGCTGGTATTAGGATCACCATATACAAATGACACATCACAAAATCACCAAAAGATGCAAGTCTGTGCACCAGGGAGAGGGCAGAGAAGGAAGCAATCTGCTATGAGGGGACAGCGGGAGCATCTAAGCCCTGTGTTTGACACACTCGCCGGAAACCCACGTGGAAATGTCAAGTGGACAGCTCAGTGTTTGGGTCTACAGTGCAGGGAGTGGCCAGTCTCAAGGGACAAGGTTGGAAACCAATTGGTTTCAAGCCACAACAGCTACTCACTAAGCCAGCAAGTTAGTCCCTTTGTGACTCCCAATGCCGAGAAAGAGAGCATATCAGTTTTGCAAGATTTACAAGTACATGATTGTCAGATTAGACCACAGGAGAGTTTAAGATTGGGATGATTGGAGTGCCAGGCCAGCCTGGGCAGAAAAGTCCATAAGCGTCCATCTCTACCAAGGGAAGCTACTGCACTCACAACAGTGGAAGCCTAGTGGAGTCCAAGTACTGCCCTGGCAGGAGGCAAGACCCTTCTGTTGAAAAAAACCAGCAAAGGACAGAGCTGGAGGCATGTCTCAGCAGTAGAGCATCTTCCTAGCAAGCATGAGGCCTTAAAGTTCAAACCCCAGTGCTACCAAAAAGTAGAGCATACACTATACTTTTGTATAATATACTAATTTTTGTCAGTTATAGGGCTTGAACTCAGGCCCTGGGAGCTATCCCCGAGCCTCTTTGTGCTCAAAGATAGCACTCTACCACTTGAGCCACTGCACCACTTCCAGTTTTCTAGGGTTAATTGGGACTTTTCTGCCTAGGCTGTCCTCGAACCGCAATCCTCAGATCTCTGCCTCCTGAGTAGCTAGGATTACAGGATGAGCCACCAGCACCTGGCTATAATATACTTTTGTAAAAATTATATATACATACATGCATATATATATAAAGATCACATGATTTAATAAAATGAACCCCACAATTAGTTCATAAGGGAATCACAGCAGTAATTACCCTCTTTTTAAAGATAAAGGAGGCCCAAGGAGAAGTTGGGATGAGTATTATTCATTAGTAATAAATAGGTTAGAACTTCTGAAAGTCCAGAGTTCAAGGTCTTAAGACACTGCTTATAATAGATAAATGAAGCAAAATATCATTTATAATAATGGTGGTCATGATGCATTTGCATTGATATGACCCTGCTATAATGTTTACAAAGTATTTTTCCACGCAGTTTTCATTTGACTTGATGAGGTTAATCAGGTTCTGTAGGTGCACACTGAGAGCTGACAATTTAAGTCACATGGAAGTTGCACTGTAAGTCTTTTTACTGTGATTCTGACTATAAATTATTGGACACAGTGTACTAGACACACATGATGGAATGGAAGTTAGAAATACCAGGACCAAGAAAAAGAAAAAACTACAAAAACTGCATAGAAGTTTATTGGAGTTCAATTTTGTCTAGGAGTTCACTGACAGCACAGTTACAAAAGCAAATGTGATCAATTATATGGACTCAATAGAAAGAAATAAAGAAGTCTTGTTTTTCCCAGCATTGAATTTTAAGGAAAATTACTCCTGTGGGATTTTACAGAAACTTGGACTAAGTCAAAGGACAATATAGTTATAGCAGCCACGGATGAGAACATCCTGTTGTGTAAAGTTCTCTTATCTCTAAGCTATTTCCCATATCTAGCAGATGATTAAATAATTGGCAGTCAACAAACACAAGGTTAACTAACCAGAGAATGTAAGGGGTGGGGAATAAAACCATAAACAAAGGAATAATTTACCAAATATCTAATGCTTAATAAATAATGACTACTGAGTTTTGAATCATAGTGTATCCATGATACCTACCCAAAAAGATACTGTTCCCGCCAAGGCTTCCCTCCTGGCTCTAAATAGCACTATATCACATCCCCTGTTGTGTAGAAGGAAAACATTCCTCCTTATTCACACACCTCTCCCCACCTGTCATCTGTTCCCACACCCCTGCATGCCCTGATCTTTGTTCCAAGATTCTGCCTGGGCATTATGCTTTTGCAATTCTGTTCTCCCATCCACAGATTTGAGAACGTTATTCCGTGCTAACTTCCTAGACTCATTTACAGGAGAACCTTGCCTCTTCACATTGGGGAGCATTTCCCACTCTTGTCTGGTTGGTGAGCAGCCTCCCAGAATGCCTAGCTCTGCGCCGTCTGTAGCCGGGGTGGCCTGAAAGCAACTCAACACGCAGCCTTGTCAGGGCTGGAGAGCAGGCCTGGAGATGCGTCACTTACCGAAACTGGGTGACGTGAATCGAGTCAAAACCTGGAATTCCTTCGTAGACTTCCTTAAGCTTAGAAAGGAAACAAAGAGAAACGTTTTCATCTGTATCCTTGTGCTTTGTGATGGTATGCGAACAAAAATCTCATCAGACAATAAATAAGCCAATGGCAGCAAAAGAGGAAAGGAATGAGGTGCTACAGGTCCCATATCCTAACAAATACAGGTAAACGAGCCACTGAGTCTTTATACACACGAGTGCACGCACACACACACACACACACACACACACACACACACACACACAGGGGTACACATATGCAGGTAACATTTACATATGGTATTGCTAATAAAATGGGGTAATCAATGCTGAAGCTGTGCCTCAAGGTTCTGAATTCAGTTCCCTACAAGAAAAAGCAAATTACTGCTTAAGGTAGGGATAGATATCATAAATTTACTCTGTCTGTTTTTTTTTCCTGATCAACAATTTCAAGTGCTTAATTTTCACTAGTACTGAAGCTGAGTCTGTTGGCTCTCATCTTGGGTTAGAACTGCACCTGAGCCATCACCCCAGGAAGTCTATGTAGTTTCTGTGAAGCCTAGAGTTTCCCCCAATAATTCAGCCTCTAACACAAAGTTTTCTTGGCTAGGGATATGACTCCAGTGATAGAGTGTCGACTTTGCAAGCCCAGAGCCCTGAGTTCAAATACCAGTACTACGAGAGAAAAGAAATTTTCTTGATGAGACAAATCCCAAGTGCTGACAATTGATCCTCAGTCACAAATTTCTTAGAAATAAAAATGAGAAAGCCACCCGGAGGCCTTCATATAGCATTCAGATAAAGGAGCAATACCAAACACAAGCAAGCTAGAAAATCAACAAATACACTTTGCTAGAAAGAAAAATGCCTAATAAATGTCCATTGTAGTCATAGCAAATAACTTCTCTGTAGACAAATAATTAAGAAGCCGTATTAGTGATATATGCCAAATAGAAAAAATCTAGACTTGTGTTTAACAAACCATTTCTTATGTAGTAAGTAGAAAGTACTCACCTGACTTTCAATTCTATTTTTATAGTTGGTGTATACAGTAGAGGATGAATTCCAAAGATCTTCTGTAAATCTTTTGTTAATTTTGAAAGTGCCCCAAACCTCTATGGGAAATAGGAAAAAAAAATTGGCTTCAGACACAATACATTTCTAACTTGATGTTGTTAGCAGCACACAATATCTATTCAAAGTGGAATTCTTCCGTGCTGGGGTTCAAACCAAAGCTGTACACAGGCTGGGCAGGCAGTCCACCCCCCACCACGCCCCCCGGCCTCCAAAGTGGCCTTTCACGGCCTTGGATAATACATTTTCACCTGAAGAAAGCATGGGAAACATACATGAAAACAGAGTTTTCGGCTGTGGCAATGATCACAGGAAAGCATTGGTAAAGGAAGACACCCTTTCTAGTAGACAGACACATGGCCGCTTGTGCGTGGATACAAAGGGACATCACTGCCCATGGAGAGAGGTGTGCACTACACTCTGAACTTCACACTGTCCTGATTTGAAAAACCAACAGCCCCACTTGCTCATTGCAGCATGGGTAGGTGGCTCTCTGTGTGGATGAATCCTATGTATTCTTCATTGAGGGCCTAATCAGACCTCACAGCTCCTTTACGTCCTTCCCAGTCCCCCGGGGGCACCTGAGCTCCTACAGTACTTCACCTAGCATTCTCCCACGGCCTCTTTGTGTGGGCAGGGCTGGGGTTTGAACGCGGGGCCTGGCGCGGGCCTTCCTCTGTGTCTGGTTGAGGCAGGCCAGGCCCAGCCCACGCGGACGCTCACTCTCCTCCCTTACTTGCTCTCTCGCAGAAGTTGACGCTGTGGCCCAGGCTGTTGCGGGGACACTCGCAGCTGGGGAGGGGCCCCGTCCTGCGAAGGCGGCAGTGCTGTGGGTCCAGACACGAGGGAGGAAACCAGGTATAGCCGTCCTCACAGAGACACCGGAGGACTCTACTCTGCCGGCTGCAATCTGCACAGAGAGCAGAACGCCAAATCATGGAGTCTGTCCTCTACCCTCTTTTAGAGTGTGTCTGAAGAAAGGAAACAGACTCTGAGGTTGGTGTTGGAAACCTGGGAGATGCCACTAAAAGGTTCAGAAAAGGACAAATCACAACTAATATGCACAGACAACTGGATTGAACAGACAGTTCTCAAGGGGGGATAAAGAATGGATGAATGAGTGGCTAATGAAGAAAGAAATGGTCAACATCCTTTGATGATGTAAATCAATATGACGCTGAACTTTCCTCCCACTGCAGTCAAAATGGCAGTCAGGAACAACCAACAAATGCAGAGGAGGTGGTGGGGTGAGGGGCAGGTGGTGACTGCGGAAGGAACGCAGCCACTGTGGAGTCCCTGCACAGACACAACTCCCAAAGCGTCCTGCTGTACCACTTCCAGGCATCTCTGCAAAGGAAAGTAAATCAACATGCAGGGAGACGGTTGCACCCTCCTCTGGTTCACTCCATCTGAAATGATTCCCAGGTCTTCATACACTGAGGATCATTGTTCAGAGCCACTGAACTCCTCCAAACTCAACTCCACCTCTGTGATCATTAGTGATGTGTACCAGCTGTCTGCTTTCATCTTTCAGCCCTTAGCAGGGAGGCCTATCCTGGCTTTATGTCGTTGGGCGGGGCCATAGATCAAGATCTGGCCAATGAAATGTGAGCAGGATCCTTCTGAAATCAAAGGATGGCAATTGCCTACGTGAAACATTCCAGCACTCTACTTCCTTTTGGCTCCAAATTTGTCCATTTGCGAAAGGCTCCAATTCATCAGAGGCGCTTTCTGTCAGCCTGGGATGGTGTGTCCCACAGAAAAGAAATCAGGTCTTTATTCTATGACCTCATTCACCCACAGTTTAGGTTTAACTGAACCTACCCACATTCCCCATTCCCATACCCAGTCCCCACAGGGCTGGCTTACATGTGGTGGCCTTCACCCTGATTATCTTCGTTGGCTCATGCAGACAGGGTGATGGAGATTTCAAGAGCTTCAGAAAACTCTCCAAGTCTCTCTTCTCCTTGGAATCTCTGTAGGTCATTTGGAGCAGCAGCTCATATTCTCCACCTGGAGATACATACATACATACATACATACATACATACATACATACATACATACATACATATAGAGAGAGGGGGGAGAGGGAGGGAGTCAGAAACCTCATTTATGACTGTGGGGATGGGAGGCAGTGCTTAGATTCAGCTTAGTGATCATTCACTGAATCGTGATGCTTGTTACTGGCTCTCACTCATCCAGGCGCTGACTGAAACATGAACATCTAGAGAAAACACAAGCAGACAGGTCCCATGAGCACCTGAGCTTTGTTCTCTCCTCTCTGCCAAGCCCATGTCTCCTGTGCCGTGGCCAGCCAGCCTGAAGGGAACAGGTGAGGACATCCTGTCTGCTCTCCCTTCTCCTCCTTCCCCTGCGCTGGTGTCCTTGAAAGATCTCACATAGAAACCCCCAACCTCACCATAGCCCAAGAGCTCTCTCTTATCCTGCCAAAAATCTTTGTCCCACTAACTAGTTGAGTTCCAGTGTTTGTGTGAGATACACATGCAAAACAAAACTAAACCTTGCGTCATTGTATATCCTGTCCTCCAGTTGATTATTTTTGAAAACAAATAATCCTTCCTTCCCCAAGGACCAATCATCAGGACTTTGTGGCTCTGGGGTCCTCACTCTGCCTTTCTATCCCAGGCCTGTTCTTGCCCCTTGGGCCTTTGCATGGGCCAGTTCTAGAGCTAGAAATGACTGGGCTTGAGTCCCGTCGACAGCCTTCAGATCTGTGCTCTAATTTCACTCATTGTTAACTCATTGTTCACCATAGGCTCCAATCCAGCTAGGAGGAGGGCTTGATTCACCTAAAGCTTGGGGCAGAGAGAAAAGATGAATCCTAAAAGCCATCTCTCACCAATCCACTTGGGTGCCTTGATGGGAAACCTGTTCCGAGGTCCAGAGCCCCTCCCTGGACGACCTCTCATCGCTGCCCTCACTCACGCCAGCTGCTTTCTCCTTATGGGCTGGCACCTCTGCCTTGGAATTACCCCAAAAGGTGAGTAACGGGGTAACCCTGGTCATACTGTCAGGGGATAATGGAGCCAGATGGACAAGGGTTAAATCCTGGCCCCTAGCTCTGTGCCTTCATTTCACTCCCTGTAAGGTTAAAAAAAAATGGCCATCACACCTGACTCAGAGAGCCAGCACAGGGATTCCATCCATGCACTTAATCTACTGCGCGACACAATAAATTTCCCTTGGGTTTTGTCACTTTTACTATCCAGTAGAAACATATCTATGGCATTCAAGGTTGAAATTTCTATTTCATTCTGTGGTGATGGCATTCCTAGTAGCGTGGTACTATCAATCCTACCCTAGTGAAATTCATTGCGCGGCTGAAAGGCTTTTGTGGACTGACCTCGGAACCTATTACCCTCCTGCATGGATTATTTTCTACCAGGGAATGCATTCTGCACTAGAAACTTCAGACCTGCATATTAGACCTGCAGACCTGCAGCCAACACCTGGCAGGTGGGAGCAAGCTCCTACATCCTTGTTATGTCGTCTAACCCTTCCGAATGCCTTGCTCTGGGGACTTGCTATCATTCCACTTTTACAGATGTGGACAGTTTCACAGCCTGCTGAAGAGGACAGGAGCAGTCGGAACTGCTGGGCGCCCAGCCCTGTCCTGTGGGCACCCACGTCCCCGGGCTAGTGAAGGCTCACCCGCAGGTTTTCTCTTATCCGCACCATGTGCCCCATTGCTCTTCATGCCACCGTTTCTCTGTTAAAACAGAAAAGAAGCGGAGTTGGGCTGAGAGCTTTGGAGGGTTGCGCATCACCTACTTGGTTGTCTCCCAGATGAACTGGAATCATCGAGCTGAACATGGCGGCGAGGGAGCTAGAAGAAAGGCTTCACCGATGAGGCTTTTGAGAGAAGACCTGAAGAAGATTAAGGAAGAAGAACAACCACAAAAGCGGACAGGCAGAAGAGGTAGACGCGGTACGGCGGCAGGAGAAAGCAGTTAGGTCACCACGCTGCTGAGAGGAGGGGTCAGAAGGAGCAAGGAAGTGACATCCGTCCCAGGGAAGGAAATGATGTCAGGGACTAGGAATGACGTCCAAGTTCCCAGGGCAGCAGGTGGCGTAGATCTTTATGGGCTATGGAAAGGGAATTTATTCTTTACTCCACTGTGATATGAAGACTTTTGACCAGAGGAAACACTTTTGTTGACTGTACAGAAATTCCCATCCCAAAGCCATGTTGAGATTCAACAAGCACAAAAGCAAGGAGAGAGTTAGGCTTATTGAAATAAACTAGTTCAGACATGAACGCAGGGGGAAGTGCTGAAATTCTGTTGATCTTTAAAGACAAAGCCAAAAGAGCTGATACGTGGTTCAGATCTATAATGTAAAAAAAGTCAACATGAAACAGTTGTTTTTTTTTTGTTCAAGGATTTGGGGGTGCTCAGCTGGAGAGTACCAGCTCGAGGGGAACACATGGAGGAGAAATCTTGGGGAGAGATCTGAGATGGAAATACACCCTTAAGAGCCATCCCTGTGGAGATAACACTGAAACCAGTATCCTGGGAAAAAGCACTGAGAAAGTGAAGATCAGGAGGAGATGTCTACAGCTTGCTGACGCCGACCCGTCTGCTTTTTCTGTGTCTCAAAGGTCACAGTAGAGGTGATACTGAGCTGGACAGGGCCTCGAGATCCTCATTGCATGGTTCAGTCATCTGAACGCCAAAGAGGTGGGATGACGGAGCTAAGATGACCATAGATGACCACATATGACCACAGATGTTGGTGATGTTGAGTCAGGAACTCAGGATTAGGGTCGTTTGCTGGGCGATGGCTCCATGGCTAAGCACATGGGCCTGGGCTTCCCTCACACATAACGAGTCTAGTTGCAGTTGCCTGAGGAGCGGAAGATGTCAGCATGAGAGAGGGAAAGATGACAGAAGGTTGAATAGAAAAACGGGACGTTTGCCAGCTCACCCCTAGGATGCCGCGCTGGGTGTCCACCAGAGTGAAGAAAGGAATGAGCCACAGCACCCCGGCTCTCATGCTTAGCAGATGCTTTCCTCCACCCTGCACAGAACATAAACAGCCGAGTGCAGAGTCTGCGCCTGGACTGGCAGAGGGTTCTGTGGAGCTTCGGGTCTATCACAAGCTCTGCAAGTGGAAAGGGAGAGAGTCCGTCATGACAGGGAGTGAGGGGATGGCCCATCATCTACGAACCCTGGGCATTCCATTCTCTCCCACCTCCAGAACCTGCGACGCCAGTAATCCTGCTCCTAGTTAGAATTAGATTTCTGTCCTCACAAAACCATTAGAAACCTCCTGTAGCCGTCTCTTGCCAGGTATTAAACTTGACCAAACACAGCCTCTTGCAGAATCATGACTTGCCTTGCGTGGTAATGAGGCGCATTGAACATTGGCCTGTTCTCCCAGGAAACACAGACATTAAAACAGCCAAGGATTCTAAGAATCATAAACCTCAGGATGCATTTTGAGTGTTTAACCATAAAAATAACAATAAACCAATATAGCAAGTTTCCTTCTTTGGGGCTGACGTAATTCACAACAAATTGTTTTCAACCATCTGCTGGTGGCAAATAAATTGGACAAGGCTTAGCCCATAAACTCGGTCACAAGATGGCCATTTCTGCCAAGGTTATTTGGCGTCAAACAAAAATCACACTAAGTTTGAACTGGTCTGTCCAATGCAGCGGACACTCGCCACAGCTAGCTGAGTGTTCATTATAATTAAAATGAAGATGTAATTAGTCACAGCGCATCTCTAGTGTTCAATAATCAATCATACATGGCTAGTGATTATGATGGATAATGGCTACTTTATCACAGGACATTTGCATCATTGCTAAAAGTTTTATTAGGCAACATAGATAGAACTAGAATGGACAAATCCTATGGCTTTCCACAGGAAAAGTGTTCTTTTTCCTTTCAGTAGCACTTGGGGTTTGAACTTAGGACTTGTTAGGAAGGCACTCTACCCTTTGAGCCATGCCCCCAGTCATATTTATTATTGAGCTGGCCTGGACTCCCTATTCACATTTCCCAGGTAGCTAGGGTGACAAACTCAAGTCACCACACCCAGCTAGTGGTGGAGATGACGTCTCATGAACTTCTTGTCTGGCTTCAAACCATGATCCTTCCCACCGCCACCTCTCCAGTAGCTAGGATAGTAGTCATGATCCACTACACACAGGAACATTGTTTGAGTGTGATTCACAAGCACAATAATCCACCACTGGAATAAGTGCCCTTGCTTAGCAGTATAGAGAGGAGAGGGGCCATCCCTGACATCCTTACCTTGCTTTCTGGGTGAACTTCAAAATTCAAATGAACTCTGTTATCTGGGCCATCTGCCTGTACTGTGCTCTCTGAGCTAAAGAGAACACAATAGCATGAGGGACGGAGTATGGACTACTATTTCCCAGTGGACATAGTGCTCGGGGCATTCTGAAGAGCCATGAAAAAGAGACAGCCTGGCACACACTCCCAGGCCAGGGGTCCTGATGTCCACACCTTCCTGTGCCAAACACTCCTTCTAAACCTGTTGCTTCCAGCATCTTACCATGGCGGCCTGCATTCCAGATCATTCTCCTGTGTTTTTCTTCCTAAAGCGTATCTGCTAATCAAGTCTATTGCCTCTGGCTGGGGACTTATGTTTTCCAAACATGATGAATAGCTGTCCCAAGAGAAAGGATTTTTCCCCCAAACTTTTTTGAAGGGTATCATACAAAGAAATAGATGGAATACAATGTGGGCAACATGAGGAGACTCTGTCACAAAAACAAACAAAAAGAAACAGCGCTCTCTCTGTCTCTCTCTCTGTCTCTCTCTCTGTTTATCTCTGTCTCTCTGTCTCTGTGTCTCTGTCTCTCTGTGTCTCTCTGTCTCTTTCTCTTTCACACACACACACACACACACACACACACACACACACACACACCCTCACACCCTTCTGTCTCTGAAGGAAAGTATCCCTAGAGATACCAAAATCTACAGCTGCTCAAAGCCCTTCTGTAAGGAGGAACAGGATTGGCCTATAACCTTTATCTATGTTTCTGAATGCATCAGATCATGCCTAGATGAGCTAGAAGACCTGATGCAACACAAGCGTATCACCTAGCTAGGTGTTACACCAGCTCTTGTTTAGGATAAGGAAGGAAAGCCTATGCAGACTCAGTGCAGCCTGGTGGAATTCATGACCCAGGATCCATGGGCCCAGGGTGTCTGTGTTTTACCGCACATGTACACAGAAGTGTGAGTATATGTACATGAATGCATGGATTGAACTCCTCCCTCGGATGTGCCCTGGGTGTTTTCCGTTGGCTTTTGTTAAGTTTTTACTAGTAAATTGTCAAGCCTGATTTAATTGAGGTCACAATGCCGGTGTGCAGGGCATGCGTGTGGAGAGGACTTGAATGCCTCCAGTCCATTTCCTTTGTCTTTTTCTTCATCTGTTGGGATGATTTATTTAAATTTGAATTCCCAGGCACAGTTTAGGCCATGGTTTGTGCCACTGGAGCTGTTAAATAGAATAGATGTCCTGATGCATTTGAGGGTTTTTTCCCCTCTCTCTCTCTCTCTCCCTCTTCTTCCCTCCATCCCTCTCTGTTCCCCTCTCCCCTCCCTGTAGGGCCTGTTTCTAAATGAAGTGCCTAGCCCTTCCTAAGGATTTGATGGTTTCCCCCTACCTCCCACTCACTCCTTTAGAAATATCTTTCTCCTCTGTGTATTCCTCCTGACTCTGTAAATAGAGCTCAAAACAGCCTGGTGACACAGCTCCAGGCGTGGGGGGGAAGGCTTCGCAAAGACTTGTAGTCTTCTAGCCCCTCTTCTTCCTGCCACACTGGACGTGTACTCTAGGCTCTCCTTGCCCTTGCTAGAAGGTATGTGCTAACTTACAGAGGTTTAGACTGTTCTACAGACAAGTCATGGGCACACCAATTCAAAAAAGAAGAGGAGGAGGAGAGGAGGAGAAAGCAAAGGAGGAAGAGGGAGGAGGAAGAAGAGGAAGAAAGAGGAGGAGGAGGAAGGGAAATGAGAGGAAGGAGAGGAAAAAATAAACCATTAAGAAGCTGATTAGAAAATATAGATGTTTCTATCTCAGCCTAAATCTCCTCAATCTTGAACAAGCCAGGCCTAGGCATGGATATTATGATATTATTATACACACAATGCTCATGTCCATGTAGGTGTTTCTAGGACAGGAGGAAAGATTTACATAACTTAACTTGGTTCTGTGGTGGAAGTCCTAATTTGAGGCCTAAAAATCAGAGATCTTCCTTTGTCTCCTTAGTACTTACAATTCTCTTTGGGGTAGGGGTGAAAGACAGAGCAAACTAAAGTGCTAAACACCTAGACAAATTAGAATTTCAAGCAAATAATGAGTATGTTCTAATTTAGGTATAACGTATTTGGGATTTTGTTAGTAGTCAGAAATTCTTTGTCATTTACCTGAAATCAAAGTTCACAAAGTCTCCTTAATTTCACAACAACAACAAAACATCAAGACAGGGAAGTCAAAGCAGGGGCTGTTGGTAAACAGTTCGCTGGCTCATGCCAAGCAGGGCTGAGCCTAACCGATGGTTACCTGGTAATCTCAGGATCCCTCTGATTCCATTTCCCACTGGCCTTTACAGCCTTTTCTTGTGGGATTGTGCCCGAATTTCACTTATGAAGCAGATTATTTTACAGTGCTTGAGGGCCAGCGCTGTGGAGACAGAAAGGCTCATCTTCCTGGTATAAAAGTATATTTTTATAGAAACTGGCTGAAGGGACTGAAGTGAGGACCTCAAAAAGCAAGAATATCAGAAACCCTGCCTGCATGCTTGTGTGCGCGCGCACGCACAGCTGGAAGAGTTCTCTAAGCTGGAAGAGTTCTGATATCAAGCAATTATCAGGATCCCGCATCCTTCCAGACAGGAGGTCATCGTGGTCTCGTGACATGACCTGTCTCCATCACACCTTGCTCCGAAGCATCTGGAAGCCGGTGATGTCTGACCCTCAGAGGTGCTGGCGCTGACTTCCATGGGAAGGCTTGCTCGTGGTGGGACCCCCCCCCCCGACTTCCATGAATTCACTCAAATGAATTCGCTTCTGATAATCCCTGTCCTTCAGCTTACAATGAACAATAATTCAAACTTGCTATTCTATCTCTGGAGTCAGTCGGCCATTGTCTCCGGGCTGTTGGTTTTGTGTTGTGTTTTTTTCAGTTGGTATTTATGGACTCGCAATATCATTTATTTGCGTCAACATCTGTCTCTAGCCATAGCAGGGCTGGCTCACACCTATCCCCTCCAGCATTTTTTTAGCAACAATCTAATCTTAGGCACAATTGAACTCTGGGCTGCTGCTTTTCTAGTTTCAGTATTTATGGGATTATGGGAGAGGGGGGAATTGACTCTATAAATAGAGGAGGGAGTTCCCAGTAGAACTGTCTCCTTTCTGTCTGTCATAGAATCACATACACACACACACACACACACACACACACACACACACACACACATACACATTTCACCCACCTGCCTACTACACTCATTATTTAAGAGCAGGCCTCCACATAGGATCTAAAAACAAAAAAGGATGCTTCAAAGAGGGTATGGTGGAGAATCTATAAAAAACTATTTGATAAGTTTTTGATAGCATTTCCATTGGGATTTGTCCTTCTATAGGCCATTTTCTTAGACCACTTGCCTTTGAGACCACTTTCCTTGTGTTTCTGTAGGTAAGCAGAACAAAATAGGTAACACTGTTGAGAAAAATAGGTGGGAAAACAAGGAAAGTCATATAAACTCCGTGTCTGGAGGCATGGCACTGGTGGCTTGTGGTTGCAATCCTTGCTACTCAGGAGACTGAGATATGAGAATCAACACTCCAAGACAGTCCAGGCAGAAAACTCTGTGAGATTCCACTCAAAAAATAAAAAGTGTACTGACAATGTGAGGACCTAGTTTAAGCCCTGGTACTTGCACACAAAAAAAATCATTTTTTCAGAGATTTGGTAAATTTTAGGAGTTAGACAAATCATGATAATAATTTGAAGTTATTTAAGTTTTTGATAGATGTCCATAAATCCACATACTATGTGCTCA